ACTCAATTTTGTTTCTTTTTATGGCTGAGTAATATTCCATTGTATATATGTGCCACATCTTCTTTATCCATTCATCTGTCAATGGACACTTAGGTTGCTTCCATGTCCTGGCTATTGCAAATAGTGCTGCAATGAACATTGTGGTACATGTCTCTTTTTGAATCATGGTTTTCTCAGGGTATATGCCCAGTAGTGGGAGTGCTGGGTCATATGGTAATTCTATTTTTAGTTTTTTAAGAAACCTCCATACTGTTCTCCATGGTGGCTGTATCAATTTACAGTCCCACCAACCGTGCAAGAGGGTTTAGGGCGTTAACTTTTAAAGCACTTCTGATCTAAAGATGTTTTCTAAGCATTTCTGGAAGAGTCATATGGTGATAATACAGAAATGTAGGCTTATGACTTAAAATATGCTTTCTTTTGATTCATAATATCCACTAAATTGGATCTCCCAAAGCAACTGCATTTTTTGATGTTGAGGATAATGGCATTACCCATAAATTAAAATGAAAATTTGGCACATTAAAATAAACTTGCTAATTACATTTTGTGAAAGTACTTAAAGAATCTTAGGTTCTCCCACTGGATTTTATTCCCAAATGTTTTAACATATAGAGAAAATCATCAATTATACTGGTCAGCGCCTTTTACATTAAGCCCCATGTTGTATATTTCTCTCAGAATTGAGCGTTAGAAAAAAAATGAACTGGTATGATTTCTTACATTAGATATTTAGAATTACACAATTCATCATGTTTCACTCTTCACTGTGGCTTCTAGGCAAGCTCAGAGCTAAAAGTTGTATTTAACTGGAGCATTTTCTTTAAAAGTATGGATTTTCTGATGCGGTTAATATCATTTATTGCTGAATTACCATTTTCAGTTATATTGCATCTGTATGTGTTTATCATAAAATGCTGCCTCAAATCCTTTTTGAAAATGCTTGGAATATAAAGAAATTAAAATCAAACGTTTTCAACAGAAAAAGTACTAGCCACCCCAAAGCCCAAAGACCATGTATAGGTTCAACAATAGTGTTCAGAACATACATATCGTTAAATTCACCCTTCGAGTAATCTTTGAAGAATAATAACCCATACTTAATCCACTGCACACATGTACACACCCAGTTTATAAATGGACATTTTATCTTGTGCCCAGATTCCCAAATTCATGGAAGATAATGTTATCAAGATATAATTTTTAAAACTGTCCTATCATAAACATCTTTTTTGGAAAACTTTTTTTTGAGTGTAAGAGAGAAAGAAGAGGGGCTCTAAAAATCCCACATTTTAGAATCGGCGATCGATGTAGCCTCTTACTGTCAGTCAGTATGGCAAAATCCAGATGATCTGTCTTTATTGTGCAAAACTGTTCATATGAGAATCATGATTCTCAGTTTAGGGAATCAAGACAGGCATCAAGATGCCAGCATTAGGCAAGACCCACCTCACTATATACAAATCCCCAGTTAAAAGAATTTTCAGATGTCGCTGAAGACCCTCCACTCTACAGATGGTGGTTCACAGTGGCTGCTGCGGCTCCCCTCTCACCTCTGGGGTGAATCACAGAGGTCCTCTAGAGCAGTCTCTACAAGGGCTCACAGAGAGAGAGAGAGCTGTCCCGACATGGGGACACCACCTCTGGGGTGAATCACAGAGGTCCTCTAGAGCAGTCTCTACAAGGGCTCACAGAGAGAGAGAGAGCTGTCCCGACATGGGGACACCACCTCTGGGGTGAATCACAGAGGTCCTCTAGAGCAGTCTCTACAAGGGCTCACACACACCATTCAGTTCAGCAGCAAACATCAAAGATCAAGCAACCTCTGAGTGGTTCAGGGTCCTAAAAGCGCAACCAAGGGATCAAGGAATCTACGTTCTGTGTTTCTTCAAGTTCGAGGGGATAAACTGCAGAAATTCTTTCACTACATTGCAGTTCAAAAGCAAAACAAGAATTATACGAGGACTACCATGTTGGAAGAAGCTTTCCTAAGATGATCACAACAAAACTATAAATGTCCTTTATGTTAAAAAACATGATGGAATCAAGCAAATCGTTCTCCAAAATAACTTCAATAAGAGGGATCTGGCAAATGAGAAATATCTGATAATGAGGTTGCGAATTTCCAAACCTACTGATCTGGGTGCTTTTCCTTAAACATTATGACCTCAGGTACACAGCAGACTGAACATCTTATATGAAGGTAGGAAAATTTAATGTGCATTTTAGCAAATGTAAGTATCACAACATAAACTCTCCCATCCTTGAAAATCAAGGAATTATGGCAAAAATATAATGTATGCATAGAATAATTAGCTAAATGCACCAAATAAAAAGAGAGAAACGGTTAACTGTCCTTAGTTGTATTACTGTATCTTATTGTTTCTCTATAAAACAAAAATTACTTGAATAACAACGCACCTGTAATAATTATATAGCATATTCACCAAAAGGGAGCTCCCAGTTGATATGATTCACCTTAAGGTAGGTGACTATACTTTATAACAATGGTTTTATTAGCATACAACATATTACATAGTTGAAAGAAGCCAAAAGTAGATTTTTAGTATATTGCTTGCAATCAAGAATCTGACAGAAGAAAAGCAGCGAACAAAGCCACAGCCCCCAGAATAGATATTTCACTGTCCTCTTTTGCTTAAATATTCCACCTAGTCCTTTCTTACAAAATGGCCTCCATTGCTAAATGGGAGCAGCCGGGCATGAATTGAATATCAAATGTCTCCCTGGAACTCAAATAAAACATTACACAATCCAGTATTTAAGATACTTGTGTTTGTTCTGCATCAAACCACAAAACAGTGATTTTTTTAAAAAGGCTCTTCTATTTTTAAAAAAATATGTCACTTTGTTTTTTCTGAAATTTGTGAATGGAATTCAGAACCTAAAAGGTATTCTGCATTAGACTATTTAGACCACAATCATGAAGAGATATATTTGGAAAATTTAGGACTTACCTGAGGAAACTGTGAATTAATAGCCCCCATAAATAGCCAAAAATAAATACAAGTTGTCAGCATTTTGGTATACAGGATAAGATTTTTTAAAATATAACTTACTGATAAGAGTTTTTTAAAACTATGTTCTCTAAAAACAACTTAGCACAGCTTCTGCAGAAAATCATTTTCATTTTGATCAAGAATGCATTTAGCCTAAGTTTCCAATGCCTACTAGCATTCCCGGGACAGCAATTCCAATTGTTCCAAGAAAGACAGAAAATCTCAGAAATATAATCGTATGCTACAGCATTTGAAGAGGTCAGATTAATACTTCAATTAGAAGAAATTCAATTAATAACTTCATTATACTCTCCCTGTGGCTTAATTATATGTAATAATTCTAAAATTTCCCTTTTGTTATCATTGGATGAACCGCACCCTATATATGGCAGATACGACATATGCAAAGTCACAAAGATTTCCTCTAAATTTGGCCTCTGTTTGTGTCAGCTTTCTACATCACCACGAAAATAGTTAGAAGTTGTATAAATTAATGTATTTAACTGTATCGATTATTCAGTTTTACCATGCAAACAGATCCTACACTGATTCAGAACCCAAATATCTTCTCAAAGAAGACAATGGTAAGGCTTAACATCATCTTCGAAGGAGAATGAATGTAAGTGTGAAAATATTCTTAACAAATTGTATGACTAACAATTAAAAGATCAGAATATATTTTATAAAGGCTCTAATGAGGTCGGTGGCAAAAATATAACACACGTTGATTTCACAGGAACCACCTGACTATTCTGGTACTAGGGCTACCACAATGACTACCTCTTTAATTAACAAACCCCCATAAAACAAATTTAAATAATTTTCCTAGAAATGCATGTGACTGACAAAAAAGCCTGTGCCTCCATCTTTATCCGAAGGTAAAACACAACCCAAGGTCAAATGAAGATGACCAATAGCCCTATTCTTTGCCTTACCGTCTCCCGCCTTCCACTCAAGACATAACATCTATTTAATCAGCAGTACTTTTATGTTTAGATAATTATGAAATTGCTTAAACACATATTATAACAAACAGAAGGTCTATTTCGCTGTTTAAAATCTATGTTATTTGGGGAGGAAGGATAACCAGGAAGAAGCTCATGTGTGGTGTGGATAATACGGCTAGATTTCAATGGGAGAGAGGTATTTAGACCTAGTAGATGGTATGGTTTTATTAGAAAAGAAAATTATCTTTTTACTGTTATCAATTGCTCTTCAATTTTTCTTTAATAAAATTTCACAGCAACCTCCTCAAGAGGATACACTAAAGGCCTTTGATTATATATACCGTAAAGAATGTATTGTACCACAAAGAAACACACCCGGTAAGATTTTTTTCCATCTGAAATTTATAAGGTAATTTTCCATGCTGACAGTGCACATTCCATCCCTAAGTTTGAAGAGTCAAATGCTGCCACAGCTGGGGGTTATTCTGCAAATGGCCTCCAGCAGGGACTGCAGGGGTGAGGCAGGAGGCGTGGCGTGCTCATGGGGGGTAGCCCTTCTCTTTATCAGTTATCATCTCAGTAACCTAATCAAATATAGAGTCCAAAGAAAAAAAGCAACACTAGGAAGGAAAAGCAAATATTAAAACAGCTGCTTGATTACCTACAGAGATTAAAACAAAAAGCAAGGAGTGAGGCTGATATATTTCCTAGGGATTTGCTAAGGCTGAGGGGAGGGGTAAGGGGCAGATACCTTAAAAAAAAATCCATCATGAAAGGAACTGAGACAAGATTATAAAAAAGGGGCCAAGTTATAGCGTGCCATGGGATTTTTAATCTGGCTACCTGTGGTTTCTGTAGTTAAAGCTTTATTCATCCCCCAAAAGAGGGGGTGGGGAGAAAACAAAAAAATCACATTTATTTGTCAGTTTTGCAAATGATCAAACAGCGTGCATCAACAAGAATAATAAGAAAACATGAAACGCTGATGACTTTTTAAAAATAGATCCCCGTTGTATCAAATATTATTGATAATTACCTGTGAATCTCGTTTCCTGAACTCTTGGATTTGATTTTCGTGCTCCATATTGGCAGTGTGAAGCTGTTTCTCCAGGTCTCCAATTTCCCGTTCATGGTCTCGGACTAGGCTATCCTTCTCTGCGTTATGCTGCTGTAATAGGTGCGTCTTCTCCTGTTCATGCTCCAGCTTCAGCTCTACTATCTGATTGGACAATGAGGACAGTTCATCAACAGAACATCCTTGTCGTCATGACAACTCATGGCCAGCTTAATTTTTCTCTAATTTGCCCAAGTTGAAAATTTTATTTTTTGCGTCATTATTACCTCACCCTTAAAATACTCTCATTTGGGGGGGGGTGGATTTTATCTAAACCTCCTAATATTCAAGACAGTTGGGCATATTCAGTAAATCCTTCTGCAATCTGTTGACACAAATGCCTGAAACATTGAAAAAAATTATGTCGAATGCTAGGTATTTCCTCCCCAAGAATTTGGGTATTACTGACCAGCAATGGTTATAAATGGTTAATAGTCAGTACGCTTTGCTTTTTGCTGAAATATATACAACGTACAAAGCAGCAATTAAATCGGTCAGTTTTCTTTATGGTTTTCAAATAAAAGATCGAAGCTAAATACGCATCTGGATTATTGTATATACAGTTGTCTTTCTAAAAATAAAATGATAAATTTCAAAGCTCTATTATCTCGTTGTCAGCTACGGTATACCAACATAAACAGATGTTATGTGTTCCAGAGGGGCACCTGCTGTGCTGCAGGCTTGCGCCATGATTTCATAAAAAGCATTCTATTCTCAGGATCCTTTCCCAGTCCACTCCACACTGGAGACTGTGACCTTGGCCAGTCTTAGCCTCTCCCTGCTAGACTGAATGGCAGCCCGAGACCGAGGGCCTGGTTGCCGCAGCTTTGATACTAATCCTCCCAGGCTGTGCACAATGGCACCCTACCTGGCCTGCACACTATAGCCAGCCAGGCTGTCTTTGAAGCAGGTGATGAATAGGGACTGCAGGAAGCCAGCTTCCCCAGTGAACTCCAGGCCACACAGCTGCTAAGAACAGTCACTTGGATTTTTCTTCAGTTTTGGTGGATTTCAAGGGGAAAAACTGCTGTTATCTAGAATACGTTGTGTTATTTTCGGCGTGAGAATCCATCTTCAAAAAAGCTAACAGTAGGAGCCTGCTCCAAATCGATCTTGTTTCGTGCAATGAATCACCAGACTACCTTATCTTAAAGCTATAGCATTCATTTCTCCAGGCATGCATGCTGCACCACATTTCAGAAGTTATTTTCTCTGGAGATTTAAAACTCTCATCCTCTAATTGCAAATTAAGAATCAGAACAAAGACTAAAATTGTTTTTAAATGTACGTTTCAAAATGTTTTCTTACTGTGATTTTTCTTTGAGGGTGGGAAAATCAACAATAAACTCCTAACCGCTCATAAACTTACTATGCTATTTAGAAGAAAGGAAAGTGTACTAACTGTGGAATATACACACTTATCGGAACAAGACAGTACAGAAAATAACATGGAAAATTTTATTTTGCATCTGAGAACAAAGACGCATTCTAGTGAATTTATGTCTGTTTAAAATTTAGGGATCTTTCTTGCCTATTATTCTACTATAGGCAATATACAGAAAAAATGCATATAAATTTTCTCTTTATATACTATGCCAAGTAGAAAAGTTTTCTATGATTACTTAAAATAAATGTGCATGGTTTTCTCTGTGATTCACACAACTACAATGTTAATCCCAACAAAAAAGAGAATTTAAAATTTTATTGACATTACTGCATCATTTTCAGGCAGCCAAGTATATGAATTACTGAGTTAGGATATTTTTAGAACAGTCTTGGACACATTATTATTTCCACTTAGTGTTATACTATCAAGCATTATAATAATGAAATTATAAATTTTAGTAAAACATTTAAACATGTACCACACTGAAAGGAAACAGAAAGAGGTAAAAAGTTCTACTGAGATCTGATTCTCAAAAGCCTCAAAAAAACTGGGAGAATGGTGTGATTTTAAATTGACAGAAAGCAAAATATTTTACAATACTCTAAGGAAAAGTAACCGATTGACCTATAATTAAGGCAGAAGAATTACAGAAGTTTTCCCCCAAGAAAAGACACAAGACCAGGACTGGCTGTGAGATCGTTAGTAACAGCGCTGCCTGGGTCTAGGCTCCAGAACCAACACCCTTCCACAGAGACTCTGAGTCATCTGAGGAGTTCTGACACTTGGACCAGTGACCCTGCTTTCCGTTCATTCATTTTAAAAAGTCAAGATCAAGTGAAATAGAGATAATGGCATTTGAAGCCTAAAGACAGATGTTCATAAGTTAAACTATTAAAATAGTTCGCTGTTTTGTCAGGGTCTGTTGCTCAGTGATGCTGGTTAATGAACAAATCTCAAGGTTGCCAGAGCCTTTTCAAATGAAATCGTTCAGCCCTGTCTGCTCGATCCAATGCTGTCTGGCCAACTTCTAGAGGTTACAAGCCCCTTCTAGTCTTTGCCTAGGTTTCCTCACTGTTAGCAATTTCAGGCAGGGGTGTCCTCTCCGGATTAATGGTAGAGCCCAGGAGAAAAACCCTCACGTTCTGGGAACATCTTGATGATGACATTCATAACCATATTCAATGCCGTCATCAAGGTGGATCTGTGTTAAAGTTCAACCTAGCCCCTTCCAGGTAGATAAATGTCCTTTACATGTGGGTGCTTCTCAACAGCAAACAGGAAGTAGCGTATCCCCTTTACCTTGAGCTACTAGATAATTTTAGTTGACCACAATAATGTGCAATGGAGCTCGTGGTTACCAGGAGGTGGTACGTCATGGAGAGTGTGGAGGATGGGAAAGCAGACGGCATCTGCAAGGGTGAATGATGAAGTGGTCAGTGGGGTCTCTAAGTCAAGGTGGTCCAGAGCCCATAATCTATGCTCCAGGGGGAAGAGGAGGCCCCATCACCAAGGAATTCTTAAGTAAGGCTAGGTAAAAAGCTCCCTGTAACGCAGAAGGGAAGGCTTTAAGCTCCCTAATCCAAAAGCATGGAGCTGTGGGCCAGGTAACTATGCTTGTAATGCCACTCGACGGGTGAGAAAGCAGACTGGCATGTCTCCCAGGACAAGGGGAGTAATTAGGCCTCACGTGCAAGTGCCTGGGAGCACCTGCCAGCCTTTGTGATGCTGGACTTGATAGCCTGCTGGTTGGGGCCTGCGTGAGAAAATGGCTTTATTGCCTAGAAGCTACTAGGTTGACTCACACGAAATTATCCAACAGGAGATGAATAAGGGCCCTGCCCCACCCACTATGCCATCCCAACACACTCTGACCTTGAGGTTCTGAGATCCCTGAAGGCACAGCCCTCCTCCCAGACCGTATCCTGCCACATACGTCGATGGCCTCCTCCCTCCGCCTGAAGCTCCACGCATGTGTCCTGGGGTAGGAGCACACCCAGGCCCTGAGACAACAAGATGCGGGTGCTAGACAGCCAAGTCCCTGAGGGCCTTGGAATACACACGCTAAGTTCTCCTAACTGTTTTACAGCAGAATTAGTGCTAGCAAATATGGCCTGAACACGCTTTGATAATCTTATTTTTTGAAGTCATTACTTCTCCGTACACAGTATATAGATCAACACATCCCAGTAATACTCCTCAAGGTCAGAAATTCCAAAACCAGAGGAGTAAATTAAAGACGTAATAGAATGCACCCAACACATAAAAAAGGAGGAATTGCAGTACAAAAATATTAACTGAAATAACCTCAAATGTAACCAGATGACAAAATCTATATTCTGCAAGCCCCACCATTCTGGACGGGAGGAAAACATACCTTAAAAATCAGAAACAACTAGAGTGATAGGAGAACTTAGTGAGAACATGAGTGCAATGAAAGAAGAACTCAAAGACAAGAAGATAAAACAACAGAATTAACTAAGGATCAAATAACTGCATCACAAAATAAATTCTAAATTAGAAACGAGCTGAATAAACAGGGCTAAAAATGTAACCACTGATATAGTCAAAAGACTGGAGATAATCACAGTAAAGGTCCATGAAGGACACAAAGAAAAGATAATATAGAGAGAAAGTGGAAAAAGAAAATCCGTGTGTGGGAAATTCCCTGGTGGTCCAGCAGTTAAGACTCTGCGCTTCCAATGCAGGGGACACGGGTTCGACCCCTCATCAGGGAACTAAGACCCCATGTGCCGCGCAGTGCAGCCAAAAAAAAAAAAAAAGAAAGAAAGAAAATCCGTGTGTACACAGGTACATTATCATAAGACTTCCCTGAAATGAATGAAGAGTTAAATGCCTATATCAAAAAAGCAAACTGTATACCAAGAAAAACTGATTTAGACTGAGTAAAAGAACGGCTCAAGAATACTATAACTAAATTCAAACATGGAAAAACTCAAAGATTATAGAACCTAAACCACTCTTGAAAAAAAAATACTTGAGGACGAAATTTAGGCAACCAAGAGATGACTGACAAAGCTGTGTTAAGAGCAACCTTTGGGCCAAAAGGCAGTGGGTCAATGTGTGCAAGCTTCAGGGAGAGAAAGGAGGAGCAGAGACTTTCATGCCCAGCCAAACTATCCTTCAAAACAAGGGAACAAGTGGTGACTCTCAAGCAGGCAGAAACACAGTGGATACGACAGCTACATGCCCTTCTGGGAAAAATGACTTGATGAAATCTCAGCAGTCAACAGATGAATCAAAATAAAGGACTCAGATATGAAAAAAAGTTCTGGTGGTGTACATATAATCGATTTAAACTTAAAAAGCTAACTATATGACTGTGAGAAGCATGGTTATGGAACAGAATATAAATGTTACAAAAATCAACAATGTATAAATAATACTATAACTGACAGAAGAAAGGTAGGGGTGGGTGGAAGTGGAAGCACGTTACTTTTATCTTTTCATAACAGGGAGTAAAAACTGAACCATAAAATTCAAAAATGCCTCTAATCTCAATGTATTTGTAATCTTTATTTCTTAACTTTCTAAGAAATCATTTCTTGTACGATAAACAATTTTCTAAACTTCAGAAATTCCTTCAGTTTCCCCTGCTTCTTTAACTGATTTCACATAAAATTAAATGTTTTAGTAAAAGTGACAAACATAGCATGGTCCCATTTTTTAAAAACTGCTTTTGTCTCTATACCTATCTATC